CAGAGCATCCATGTGCCAAATTTCATCAAAATCCAATGAGTGGTTCTTTAGATATCAGTGGAACAGTCTTGGAACAGCTAAAAATCAGCTAATTGTCATGCAAATTAGGTAATTAATATTCATAGATTTTTACCAAAACCTAATCAACTCTGCGCATTATCCCAGAGCATCTATGTACCAAGTTTCACCAAAATTTGATTAGTGGTTCTTGAGATAACAGTGGAACAAAAAAAAGTGACATACATACATACAGACATACAGACATACATACATACAGACATACAGACAGGGTAACTGCAAAGACTCCCTTTTGTGCTTCGCACATGGGAGTCAAAAATTGAGCAACATGATAGTTATTCATAGAGGGCGTTTTTTTTTACTTTTCAAATAATACAGTAATCACACAATAAATATAAAAAAGCAGTTCATATTTGTCTTGGTGAATCATTTATTTTTGACAGACACCTGTACAACATACTTGGCCAGTCTTTTTTCTGAGATGAGGCATTTGTTTTTATACTAAAATATCTGAATTACTTTGAATAAAACTGGAAATTATGTCCCTTAAAATATAGAAACAAATTAGGCATCAATATTTACATCAATCAAGGACATTCGGTAGACTGCTTTCCCACTGTTGTTTCAATCCCAAAACTTGTTTGTATTCAAAATTAATTATGACAAAGGAAGAACATTATATAACAAAGGGCAAGGTCACCAGAGTTCAACTATGTTATTATTTTTTTATGATAGGATATTTATTTTAATTTAATATGATATAAATCAATATTTTCATGCTTTTCAGAACCTGATTTTATTTCTTCATTTGATATTGGTCAGGAAGTATTTTTTTTTCTTCGAGAAATTGCTATGGAATACAGCAACTATGGAAAGGTTAGTTTACAACTTTGAATTGAGTGTTGAAGAAAACTTCCAACGACCGAAATGTGCCTTAGATTTTAATTCTCTTTTATAACAATATCATTTATATTTGTGTGTCACAATTTTTTAATACTAGTATATACATTGGGAAAAATGATAGTCAAAAATAATACGATACAAAAAATTGTAATTCTCAATCTCTACCGTACTAATTTGTGTACAAGTGAAGTACAATCTCTCCAGATTAACAAAGCTCTTAGTTGCATGATTTTT